TTGTAATCTATTATAGCAACAGCTGCAAATGTTATAAGACAAAATGGCCCATTTGCCTTTATATAAATCACAACGTAATGATAATTTGTAGGTCTTGGAAAGTCTTGGAAAAATGTGTCACTGTAAAGTCAACATCACAGGCCTTCTTTGCCTCATTTACAGCTTGAGGACTAAACGGTCCATCCATCATGTCTGCTAAACAGACAGAGAGTCAGAGGGAGGTGGGGGAGGAGAAAGAGAGAGAAGAAAAAGCAGGAAATAAGTGAATAGACTCAACAGACACTTATGTAATATGCTTTAAGGGAAACACTGGAACAAATGTGAATGGTGTCCAGCATTAAATGTTGCTAGCTGTGGTGATTTCATACAGGTGGCACACAGATGGGACCCCTCCTGAGACCTGAGCTTGTTAATGAGTCACAGCGAGGAGGGGTGGAGCGGGCTGATATCATGAACCAGACGGAGCCCTCTGGCAGCGCAGCGTCGAGGTACCCAGCATGCCATTCTGCATTATGGCGAGGTGCCCCTCGAGCCGTTGGATCTGCGGATTAACCCAAACCTGGCAGGATTTACCATGCCACGTGTCAGGCTGAGCAAACACTGGAAATGAATTATTATTTTCTCTCACTGTTGCTGAAAGACAACAATCAGGCCTAATGAGGGCTCCCATAGAGACTTATTATCAACTCTAATTAATGGTGCAGAGTGTGTGTCATAAGTCCTATTTACACTATTTAATTACTTTTATAAACTTTGCAAAAACTTCAAGTCTATTGAAGCAGGGATTAGTCTGAGAAGTGAAGCTGAATCTCATAGAAAATGTTGACTGGTCACATTTGAAGCCAGTGGAAGGGCAAAGGTCATGCTTAAGTGGGTGAGAGTGCATTTTGAGATTAGTGGGTTTAGTCAAGGTCTACAAGTCTAAGACTGTTCTTAACTGTCATTCACTATCCTTTTTCTGCAGACAACTGGAGGCTGCTTGAATGTGAACAGCAAGGAACTTGTTGGAGATAATTACATTTTGGGTGTGGTATGTAGGTTTGCAGTGAGAAAGTAGGAAGTTGAGAAGAGAAGAGAAGAGAAGAGAAGAGAAGAGAAGATAATGGGGTAGAGAAGTAGCAGATGGACAGTGGGGTTACTGTCACACAATATTAACACATCCACCTCAGGAGGAGTGAGCCTGTCAGTCAGGACACTTGGAGTCAATTGCTAAACAGAGGGGATTCTGTGAGTGGGGAATCAGGGAGGAAAATCCCTCCTTGCCCTTATGACCTTATATGCCGATTATGGGCCATATAGAGGGACTATCCTAGGCATATAGTGTCGAAAACAGGGGATTAACAGGGGATCGCAAAAGACTCCCCAGGGGACAGCAGAGGAAGAATGAAATCTTAAATCTTATCATTTTAAGAATGAAATCTTTAAAAAAAAAATGGCTGCATTTAACCTTTAGGTGTGTAATCTTCATTCATCTTAAAAAAGTCTGGCTCATGCATGTACTGTCAGACTGTGGTGTACTGTGATCTTGTATTTGTGCATCTGTTGACATTGTTCTGGTGCATTCTTGCCATGGTAATTGAACACACATGATGAGGCTGAAGGAAGGGAGACTGTTGGTAAAGCCTCAGTCAGTCCTGTCACGCGTTTCCTATTCACCAGCCCAGTGTGTGTGTGTGTGTGTGTGTGTGGGAGAGGGAGAAAGCATGTGTGTACTTGCGTGCCTATGAGAGCAAGCTGGTTTTGTGTGTGTGTGTGTGTGTGTGTGTGTGTGTGTGTGTGTGTGATAACACACCACTGGCATTCTTCATTTGTAAATAACTGAATCAGGCTATTTTAGTTTGCTCAGAGCGCAGCTGTAATTTGCAGGCGTTCTACTCTTAAAGACCGGTAATTATGGCTTTTAGAGTCTCCCAAAACATCTCAAATGGCTTCAACTCATGACAGCTGTGCATCTGGGCTTTCACACGCTCACGCATGCATGAACATATGTGTTGCTATTAATTAAACTGGTACATTTTCCAAATGAAGTGGATTTCAATACACAGGTAAACAGAGGTAGCCCACCTAGGTAATAAGGGCACTCAGATTTTTTTTTCAGTCAAATTTTTAAATGAATATTAATAATGATTTTCTAACTACAGTATAAAACGTTTATATAAAATGGACATGACATGGGCCACACAGTCTTTACAAAATATTACAGATATGATTCGTTTTTTCCATGTCTCAGTAGAATTGTGTTAGATTATTTTAAAAAAAATTCCATATTTCACAAAAATAAAATAAGACGAACTACTTTGTTGTAGGGCTGACTTGCACTCTGTCTAATAATCTATGTTTAAAGGAGATCAGAAATGAAGCTTGGTAAGTTGATAGGTTGGTAAGATGATGATCCTTTTGTTCCCATTTTCTAACTTCTTCTATGCAGTTCAGACAATTAACACCAGGGTCAAACAGGGTTTTACTAAACCTTCAAGAGAATCTCTGTCTATCTTCAAATTGTCACCTGATTTGCTTGTTGTTTATTCAGCGCAGACACATACCTCAGAGTTCATGAAGGGAAGGCTGTCTGTTCACCAGACACTGGCTAGTCTGTCTGACCTTAATAAACCAGAGTGCAGTAAATCTAATTCAATGGGCGATTACTGTGGTAGGAAAAAATAGACATTAGCAAAGTAGCTAAGATTCCTGAACTAACTCATGTAATATAACAACCTGCATCACAAAGTGATCACATGACTAAAACAAAACAAAAAAAAAGTATCACCTCAAAAACTAATGAGAATCATCATAGGAAATAAAATGCATTTCTACCAGTTGGCTGCTTCTCTTCTTCTGGCTGCATGCAAAAGTAGTTTTCTTCTGTTCAGAGCGGTGCATTAATTCTCTGATTAGGGAAAGCTTCAGCTGCTTAGCTCCATTAGAAATCTCAGGTGTGATTAACTCCTGTTACAAAATGTATATGTAAAAATTTTAGACAGCCCATTTATGTTCTACATGTTTTATACCAACCTTTAATTATGCAACTGTGTGTAAATGAAGCACACTGCAAACAGAATTTTTGACTGGTAAAGTGGCAGTAAAGAAGAATACAGACAAGGGAAGGAAGGGAAAGAGGCTTTGTAATGATACTTATATGAGAAATTTGTAGCCCCAGATGAATCGCAGAAGTGTGCCATATTGACAAATACTCAGTAAGATAGACAAACTTCTCACATAAAATGTCTGGGTAAATACAAATGCTTTTCATCCACGTGCTCTATAAAACATTATTGTTCAAGTGAAGGCTAAAGGCGCTTTGTGCAGTGACAGAACCTAACCTCTTGTGGGTATAATTTGCTGGCAGTACGAGCTTGGCTGACAATGCAACTGTCACAACTGGAAGCGTCCACGCAACTCGAGGATTATCCCCCCGCCATCCGCTACCTTGAATATGGCATGGCCCGGGAAGCATATGGCTGCAATCTGTGGCAACCCTCCATTTGCTTTTAATTAAACACATGGAGACACCCCACACATACACACATACACACACGCACACACGCACTTGGGTAAAGGCTTGGCAAGGGACTAATAAAAAAAACAAACTGATATGGGCGACATTAATGATGATGTAAGGGAAGCTCATGTGTCAAGAACAATAACTGAAGACAGAGGATTGAGTGTGCTTTATAGTATGTCTCATTACACTTGGAGACAATGATTACAGTGATACACATCCAAACATTCAGCTGATGTGACTAACAGTCTGCGGCCGTAGTTTAAAGACTTGCTAAAAGCAGGGGAAAGTCTACCCTTAATGACCAGGCCATCATCAGTCAGACATAATGTATCTCACGTGTTTATGCAGCTGGTTTTGTCGTATCACGGCTGACTAAATTAGGACTCCTTTTGCTCGCCGTCTGGGAGCTGTCCGAGTATCCCAGAGTAAACATGAAAACTGGAGCACACGCCTTGGAAGTTGAGGTTAGGTGAAGTAATCGTACTAATGTGCCAATCATGTCAGCAGCATTAGTGCTTCAACGCCTCTAATCAAGAGATTGGTGTTCACACACCTTGTTCCAAACATATGTGTGTATGTGTGTGTGGATTATGGGGGCTGGCGGCAGTAATCCCCTGACCACATGGACGTCAGAGGCAATCCAATTTACAATATGACACTGCTTAACACTTACAGATGCAACCTGCTATACTGTGTATGCCAATATTTAAGCAGAAGGGGTCGACTCGTTCGGGATTTGACTTGGATCTTACAAATAGATTAAGAGGCTAAAGCCATGCTAGAGGCTAACTGAGGGTGTAATCAGGGACAGTTGTGCTTAAAGCCAAATGCTAATGTCAGCATTGCCAATTAGTGCTAAAGATGCAGCTGAGGCTGATGGGAATATCATTCGTTTTGCAGGTATTCAGTCATAAGTATTGGACAAATAAAAAATTTTACATGATGTTGGTGCTACATGAAACGTCAGGGGTTCCCCAAAGTTGCTGCAATTTATCCTGAGGGTGACAAGACTGTCTGCCAAATGTCATGGCAGTCCATCCACAAGTCGATGAGAAATTTCAGTCTGGAAGTGGCTAACCCATAGACCGACACAGCCATCCCCAGAGCCATGTGGAATGTGTGGGTAAAAACTACTCAAACAAAGCATCACCAGATTTCATTAACTAAATCCCTAGACCTTTGTCAGCAGTTTCCAATGTGAATAGGCTGATGCAATAAACCAGAACTTCAGTTGCATCTGTTTCCAGGACAATGGAGCTCTGTGAGTTTGAATGTGACTGCACCGATTACCGTCTAAGTACACACTGTATATTAACGTGTGTGTGGGTGGGTGGGGGGTGGGGTGGGGGGCGCAACGACTCTCTAATCAACCTCTGTACCACATTGTCATTCATTTATGCATTAAACAGATGGAGAAGGTGACTGTTTTGCGCACTTGTGCACATCAGACACGTGTTGTCATTCTCTGGAGAGAAACACCAACTGTCAATCAAAACAGTCACTGAAATACTCCTTTATTCCAAATGCAGGACGAGGTCAGCCAAATAAAACATGCATATGTTGTTTTTGTAATTTTCTATGTCTACATTATAGATATTTAATACATAAATGATTCTATCCATACAAAATATAAAAATATGTGAGGCCTCATTTACAACCATATTTACATGGACTTCCTTAACTTAAAGTGAAATTATTAATTCATTTATCTATGTACATACTATGAACTGAATACAATAGTACAGTATATCCTATATCTAAATCACATTGCATGAAAAAGCTAAACTGTACCAAACCAACTACCTTGCACACTTGTTTGCTGCATGGAAATGAAGTTATGATAAAAAAAAAATTGCACATCAGCTTTTGATAAACGTTGTGACTTGATAGAACTGCGCTTGTAAGTGTAACAGCCTTAATACTCAGGAGATATTCTGAAACATTAAAATGAACAAACATGCAAACACTGTTGCTTTTTCACTGTTTACCAACTGTAATTCATCACTGACTTCCAATTACATAATATTCAACACTCAACGACACTGAATAAATGGACTGTGAGTTTTGTTTTTTTGTTCCAGATGGAGAATGTTAGCGTACACAAGGTGGAGAGAGAATCATTTACTGTGCCAAACGTCAGGATATTAGGAGATGATGCAGTTCTTGCTTTTTCTGCGTTTGTGGGTGTGTAACTGCCCACTGCGGTTGGGTCCTCCCATCCCTGTGTTGTACTTATGGACAAGCTCCTGGTTGCTGAGGTAGCGCAGCTGGATGGGTCTGGGGATCGGCTCACCCAGAAAGTAACCTTCATCCTCTGATTCGGAGGATGAAGAGCAGGTGGAGCACCAATCATCGTCGTCATAATCATCCCAGGAGTATTGGTTCAAGCCAGTGCGTCGGCTGGCCCCGGGGTTCTGCAGCGTCAGGTCTGAAGTGGTCCTGGGGCACTGCCTGAAGAGTTGGGGCTGGTATCTTCCCCCTCCTCCTCCTACCCCAAACTGGTCCCTGGTGCTCCTTGGTGGCGGGAACCGGTCATAATCCTCTCGGACACGTAACTGTGGTCTTTCTTGAGGTCTCGCCCTTCGCTCTGCCACCAAGTGGAGAGCGTTTTCTGAGCGAGAACGACGGGATCTCCGGGAGCGGTGGTGGTGGTGGTGCCGGCGCCTCTGGGGAGTCTCCTCTTGGGCATCTATACGGACACTTGCTCCCCTACCACCTCCTCCTCCACCCACCCTGCGCTCACTGATGGGTGGCAGGCGGGCAGCATTGGCACTGCTCACCAAACTCACCCTGTCCTCCTCCTGGAAGGTGAAGCCGGGTGGTAAATGAGTCATGCCCATACCCCCACCCATGCCAGGAGGGTCACAGTATTGCACCTTGTACTGGGAGGGCCTGGGGGGATCCATTTCCATGTAGGGCTGACTGGCGGTGAGGCTGTGAATGGACTCAGAGCTACGAAACTGCACTGAGGAGTTGAGGGTGCCCATGTTGCTTTTCTCTGACACGTTCATTCCAGAGTCTTTGCTCAGGTCGGGCATGGAGAAACGAGAAAGGTGCTCCTGACGCTTTCCTCCTCCATCTGCTGAGTTTCCTGAAGGGAAACAGAGTTGAATTAAGTGTCATCCCATTTCAGTTAGAGGAAACATCTTAGTATCCAACAACAATGCTAACAAACAATAAGCTCTACACAGAGGTCTAACGACTACTACCATACCCACCTGTACCATTGGACATGGCCAGGGACTCCATGGATCCTCTTGGGGTCTGCTCTAGAGGGGTCAGTTGCTCTGGGAAGTTAAGTGCATTGATGGGGTTCCTGCTTCTCGCCACCTGGGTTGCTGCTGGAGGCCCTGCATCTCTGTCCCTGTCCCTCTGAAAGCCATGCAAACTGATGGAGCGCTTGTCAGAGGAGAAGCCGTTGTGGTGCTGAGAGCAATGGGACATCTCAGTGAAGCTCTTTTGGGTCCTCAGCTTGGGTGGATAGTACTCCTCTGGAGCTTGCTGCTGGAACCACGTCTCATTCAGAGAGTGGCCCTTCATGGCCGAGATGGGGGGTCTCTTTAAACCTGCGTTCTCCTTGATCCTGTGATCCTGCTGCTGATTGTTCTGTCCAGAGCAGGCGGGGTTATAGGCAGTCCTGACGTTGCACTGGCTGAGAAGCTGGAGAGGGGTGGGGTTGGCGGTTGGGTCTGAATGGGATTCATAATTATAACTGTCACCTGCTTGCTCCTGGCTCTGCCAGGCCGGTGGCTCGCGAGTCAAACTAGGCGTTTGACTGGAGAGACTCAGAAGATCCATTTGTAAAGACAGTGGGTCCACCTCGCCGGAAAATCTCTCCGCCTGCACTCCACCCCCTCCTCCTCCTCCTCCTCCTCCTCCTCCTCCACTCTTCCCGGTCTTGGAACTGCGTCTGGACTCCCTGGTGGAGCGGGCGCTTTGGAAGGCCGAATCAGACGAGTCAGAGCCATTAGGCTCCTCCCCCAGACTGCAGGAGCGTGAGCAAAAGATCTGGCCCTGCTTGGGCAGGAAGGGCCGACCCAGCAGAGAGCGTTTACAGCGGGCGCAGCAGAAGCAGCCCTCAGTGGCGTGCCAGTGCTGCCCATCATATGTCATCTGGCCTTGATCAATGCCTGCAGGAAAGAGAAAACACCACATGAATTCACACTTTAGGTAAAATGACAGATTGTGGGACTTGTGTAAAAATACACAATTAAAATACAAAACACCATGTGTTCATCAAAGAGCTTGAAATTAAAATCTTTATGTCTTTATTAAAAATGCTGTTTGATATGAAAATAGTAGCTTATTACAAGCTGCTTGTTGAGTGAGAAAATGGAGCTGGAGGCTGTAACACATGACTGCGCTTAGGGGCAAACTCATTATGAAACTTGCCCAGCATTGTACTGTATGAACACACTGCATTTTGAGTATGTTTCAAGTTGTATCAGGGGGAAAGAAAACCAGCTATTTGCTAATGGCTGCCATCTGGTTTGAGCATGTTTTTCTGATGGTTTCAATTTATAATCAGTTGTGCTTTTTAGCCAAATACTTTTCTGTATCCTGTCTGACAAATAATTACAGAGCAAATTTGTTGAGAGGTATGTGCCAAAATCACACCTGGGCATCCTGTCAGGGGAACACACGAACACGCACACACACACACACACACACACACACACACACACACACACACACACACACAGTTCTTAACAGGAGGTGGCATGGGGCCAAGAGGTGCTAATATGAAGGTTTCCCACTCAAAAATACCCCAGTTACAGTGGGTTTCCCTCCAACACTACAGTGTTTGAAAGAGTTTGTGAGATTTTAAAATTTGTATTTTAACTAACATTTGCTGCAAGTGTCTGATATATACTGTAAATACTTCAGTGCTCTGTAAGCTGAGGTCTCTGTGGCCCTCTGCTATGTGCCCTGCCTCACATGCCTGGCTGTGGATGACATCATTCAATGATCTACTGCTAAAAGTCATGCCCCGTCCTTTCTGCTGTAGTTCTCTTTCTCCTCTGTTACTTGCTACAAAGAAATGAGGTCACTCTCACATCCTCCTCGAAAAAAACCTGCAGCCCAATCACATTCCACTTAATTATTCCATGTATCCATGTGTTTAGCATATTGTATTCTTTTTGAAAGGGTTCCTTTGCATGACCTGCAGGTGATTAATGCGGTCCGTGTTAACAGTGATAGATGCCGGGTGGTGGTGCAGCATACCAATATGTTCCCCACAGGAGTCACAGTACTCTGCGTAGAGGGACTCGAAGCAGGAGCAGCAGTATGGCCGTCCCTCCTTCATGATATAGCGCTGGCCCCCCAGCACCGTCTCACACTCGAAGCAGCAGAAGTGCTTCATGTGCCAGTGACGTCCTTCTGCCTCGGTGCACTCATCCGCAAAGATGATCTAAGAAAGAGGAGAGAAAGAGTATCGTTTATTAGGGGTCCTCAGAGGTAAAACCTCGATTGGGTTATTACTGTGCGCTGAATGACAGGACAAAGGCTCGGCTTGCCCTCCCTCCCCCTTCCATACGGACCACTTTCTCCTCTGCAACTTAGTACTCTTAGATCACCCTCTTTGTCACTGGCTTGTGTAGGAGGCTAATGTGTGTGGGGACTTGGTGAAATCTAGATGGTGCATTTACTTTTAATTACGCTGCTGTTGAATCACCTGGGTGCTTTTTAAAATACTAACAGTGTCCTTGTCCCCATTTGCAGAGAGAGTACGTCAGTGTTAATGGCTTTGAGATCAGGATATTGAGAGCTGACCCCATTAGACGTGAGAAATCCATGCATGAGTTAAACTGTGACAGTGCGTGCTGGGGAGCCTGTGAGCATCATATGACAGCAGTGTGGTGCATATGAGGGCATGTATTATGTGCAGAATGCATGTGTGTAAATGTTTTAGAAATAGCTCTATAATCACCATCCCACATTACTGGCACAGTTATTTTAAAGTAGGCGATATGTGTATCCATTAACACGTGATCCTTTTTTACAGCCTTGTGTGTGTGTGTGTGTGTGTGTGTGTGTGTGTGTGTGTGTGATGGGTGTGTACCTCATCACAGGCAGTGCATCGTGGTTTCAGCCTCTCGGCGTGGTGTCGGCCACAGTAGATCTTCCCGTCCTGGTGGAAGTAGATGAGATCCACCAGGAGCTCGCTGCACATGCTGCACACAAAGCAGGCGGGGTGCCAACACACACCGTGACCCGCCCGTGATGCAAACACAGCAATATCGCCGCCATTTATCTGGCCGCCGCACTAAACAGAGGTGGAGGAAGAAGAGCGTTTTTGAGAAATCAGCTGCTGGCATTTACCTTCTGATAGTATTTGTCACTATTTTAGATTCTCCCCTGAGTCCAGGGGGTCCACGCCGATACTGAGCACCGATCCAATACAATCCAATGTTATTTCTTACTCAGTTTAAAACATGCATACCTTAAAGTGTAGAACTGATAGTGATATTGTATCATGAAGCTGTATATCACATTTTAACTATAAGTGATATTCATACTCCAACATTCTCTAAGGCTTTTGCTGTTTCTAGAAAGTGAAACCAATGAGTGCTTTTATTATTTCATTAACACAGTGAAGCAAAATAACTTCAGGTAAAGACTTATTCACATATAAAATCATTTCAAAAGAAAATTATGCATTATCAAATTAGGGCTTGTAAACATTAAGGTCTGCAAGAGCTGTATCAGTATAATTATTTAAGTTCCATTGCTTGGCCAGAGAAGGACTCTAATGTGCGTACTCCACAGGCCCAACTTTGTAAAAGCACGATAAACGTTCTTTAGAGTGAATGGATGGGACGCCATCTTGAACCGTGGTATGGTATCATTAATTCCTCAATGTAAAATAATCCCTGTTACAACAGGCTGTCGGGATATAAGACACTGAGTGAACAGTCAGTGTAGTCCAATGGGAAGTCAGTAAAATGTGTTACTTTATTGGTTGGAATAGATAATAACTACAACCATCATCATCTTTCCTTCATCTGTTATGGTCTAAATTAATTGATTGACCATTTGGTCAATATAATGTCAGAACACAATCGCAATTTCCTTAATCCTGAGGTCATGTCTTCAAATGGCTTGTTTTCTCTGATCAACAGACAAAAACCCAAAGAGCCTCAGTTCCCATCATGTAAGACAAAAAAACATATCCTTACTTAATTGAGAAATTGAAACAAGAGGACCAATGACAAGTTCCAAAGACAAATCGATCACCTAATTCTTTGAACTCTACAGGAGATCACTGCTGAAGGTGCACCATTTTCAAAGAAAACCCCTTTCATGGGATCTTTAATCAGGTCACTGTCGCTACTGATACAGATGCAGTGCATCTCTATCTTTAACACAATTTTGCATGAAAACTGGACTAAACTGAGAGCACGAGGGTGTGTTTATGTGTGTGGCTGGGGAGGGCAGGCACAGACAGGGAGAGGAAATTAAGTGGCTGTTGGAGGACATGGCAAAGGGGGGGAATAAAAATGGAGAGATATATGGGAGGATAAAAGGGAGAGCGGGATGGCATGGAGGTGTAAAGGTAGAGAGGCCGGAACTATAAACAAGAGGGAGTGCTAAGGAGACAGGGGGGAAAGGTCAGGTAGGCAAAGTAGATTTAGAGGGATGGGAAGACAGATACAGAGGGAGAGTTACAATCAGGTTATCTAACTGGCACACAGCCTATACTGCTGCAAGGAGGCCAAGGGGGGGGGGGGATTCAATCAATACACACTCTCCCAACAATCTGCTCCCTCGCATATGTGTGGTTTTGTGTGTGTGTGCGTGTTGCTGAGTGGATGGGAAACACAAGCTGTAAAGCAACTATCCACCTGGGGCACCAACACAACAGAGAGCAGCTCCACTTTGTTTGTGCACTTTGTAACAAATGGCTATCGGATGCTGAAGTGTGCTAGTTTGTTGTTGAAAGAACACTCTTCATTGCACTCTGCAGTCCCATAAGGCCACTACAAGAGTACATGAAGACAACACCTTCAATATTTGATGGGACACTGGGCTCTGCTGTAAAATATTTTCAGGAAGATTTGAAGAAGTTGTAACTGAATCTTCTTCTCTGAGGTAACGCTGACAAATAACTGTGATTGTTTGAGTGTGACAGCTCATATTGTAGAGGGAAAAAGAGACATGCTATATACTGTACAATATACACACAAGATTCTCTATAGAACAAGATTTTTAAGGTGAGATTGACAAGGTCACTTCATTGTTATAAAAGCAGACGACTGTTGCGTCTCTGCCCTTTATATGTCAAGATGAAGCACCTCTCGTACATCATGACAAAGACCTGAAATGCCAGCAGGCTGTTCAGTACGTCTCTCACACTATTCATTGCTTTCATTCCACCGGCCACATGACACACCTTTGCTTTTGTCACACTTAATTCACTCGTGTCACGGGATGCGGCGCAGAAATGACATTTAGACGTGAAATGATGGCTTGCTTTCAGATCATCTTTGATCTTGTCATATCTCTTCCCTGCTGGGGGAAGTGATACAGAAATGACGGTTTTGATAATTCTGTCAGTTACCTGCTCGCAAATTGCCCCGGTCATCGTCACGGGGAACGGACGGACGTTGCCGCGGCCCAGGTTCTCCCGTTTACGTTGGTTACTGAAGAGCTTCAGCTCTCGCTTCTCCTCGTCATCCAGACTGTTACAGTAGCGGACCTGGGGACACACACACACGCACACACACATCAACATACATTTGCTTGAAGGTGGATATCTGCCTTTCTTTTCTTTTCTTTTTTTAAAAAGCAATTTCTCATTGTTAAACCTTAGCATTGTTGTCATAATGTAGCCTTATTCGCTGTAGACTTGCCATAGTAGGAAAAGCACAGGTGTTACTGATGACATTAACAATGGCTCTGTCTTACTCAAGTGTCCCTTAAAGTCATAACAGAGTAACAGAGAACCAGCATGAACAATACCAGGACCCTGAAACTTTGTTTGGCCTGGTTTGTTTGGCAGCAGGATTGTAAAAAAAGTACTGAAGTAATTTGTACCAAACTTGGAAGCGGGGTGGGGCATAGGCCAGGAAAAAAACACATAACATTTTGGTGTGAATCCAGAATTTTTTTTTTTTGTCTTTCTTTAGCATTTTTCGATGTTTTCGTCAGTTTCTCATGTAAAGTCCTACATATTTATGGTGTTGAGATCTATAAGTTTGTACGACATTATTTAGATCCAGCTAATCTGATAATAATCTGCATCTGGTTCTTTTTTATTAAAGGATTATTTGGCCTTGGCAGAGGTATGCACTCTACTAGTTTACGCCTGTGCTTATCCTACAGCGCCATGTCAAAATGTTAAAGTTAAGACACTTCATATAATTCGCTTCGCTTTCCATCACAACTGGGAATCTGCTATTTCAGCTACATATTTTCCCCATTTGGGTTCACAAAGGAGGATGAACATGCTGGGAGTGATTATTCCATTTCATTATTTCCATCATTTTCCATTTCAAGAAACAGAGATTTTAAGATTGTGCAGCAGGGATTAGAAACAGAAAAAGAACCAGTCCTTAAAATGCAGAAGAAGTAGGAAGTTCCAGGCTTACATACTGTATCACAGCCATCATCTCCAATTTGTTCACCGATTCAAATGAGACTGATGTTGTACCTATTGACAGCTATCAACCCATCAGAATTTAGAGATGAACAATCTTCCTGCACATCTGCAAGTGTATCTGGCAAGACACATTCATGGAACAAGCATGGAAGAGACTGAGGCAGCTGCACAGGCTGATGTAAGTTAACTTACAGAAATAACAATTCTCTAATTGGTACATTTCTGTGATGATAGGAACTGCTACGGAAACTTCCTCCACCACAAAGCAAAAACAACCCTCTCTCCCAAACAGAAACTGGCTGACATGAACCTGGTGTTAGACTGAATAATGAAGTAAAACTAAATGTGATTGCCAGTGTAGTTATGGCACCACTTGTTTATGACAGTCAACTAATATCTCAAGATTAACAGTGGTAATGATTTATTGATGTGAACTTAAAAAGGCAGCTACACATACACACAAACACCTCACTATCTCATTCCCACCCATTAAGCAGACAGACTCCATTTTTCTTGCGTCTGTCTCCTCCCTTTGCCCCTCTTATCTCTGTATTGCCCCGAAGGAGGGGAAGAAGAAGGGAGGGATAGATTTGTGGATAGATGGATGGATGAAGGTGTTGGGGGAGGGGGACCAGTTTGGACTCTCACCTCATTGTCGTGGGGCGGGAGCTGATGGAGCAGCTGTTTGATGCGGTATTTCTCTCCTGGGCTGTTCACATAGGGCACCTTGTCCTCAGGCAGGGAGCTGTAATACTGATGAACCTGAGGAGGAGACACAGACACAGACACAATGAACAGCAACATACCTGCAACATGTAAACAAGATGACGGACCAACAATACACAGCGATTATTTTTCATTATTGATTGATGATTATTTTTCCTTCATTGATTTAGTGTTTTGTCTATTAAATAATGCCACAAAGTAAGGAAAAATGTCCATCAAGAGCTCCCATAGTCAATGGTGTGTCTTCCTGTTGCTTATGTTGGCTGCACAACAGTCAAGAAGCCTAAAGGGAATCAACTTATAATGATATGAGATGGAAAAGTTTGACGAATCCAGAGAAGATGACACCTGCAAATGTTTGATATTATTTGATAAATGACTAAAAATGGTTCATTTATCATCATAATTTTTGCCAGTTAGTCATTTTAGTATTAAACCATTACAGAGACAAATTAACAGGATCTATAACTGAGAGTGACACACACACACACACACACACACACACACACACACACACACACACACAATCCCTTTGATTTATGGCCCACCATTTGAGACTTAATGGAACCTCACCTCTCCATCTCTGCACATTGACATGGGAATGTATTACTGACCTGTCAAATGTGCATGCGCTCATGTCCACACACACACACACACACACACACACACAGAGCAATGATTACCTCCTATGCATATAGCAGTGCGTGTGAATACGAATACGTGCGACAGCAGGATTAATGCTAATCTGGTCATTCCAAATTACTTGGACATTCTTTACATTACAGCGGCAGACAATGAGTGTCATCTCAGTGTTATTTATTGCAGTCTTTTTTATTACACTGTAACAGGGGGCCGGGGTATACCAGAGGTCAGGCAGTCATATATGAATGTGAGTGGAGGAGAGGGGGGCAGACCACGAAAGCCACAGGGTTTTAAAGGGAGATTTGAGGACAGAGGTCAAAGACAGATAGAGGAGCTGGAGGACAGGTGTGGAGAGGAAATAAAGACAGAATGAAAATGTCAAATGGTTGAAGAAAGAGAAGAACGAACAAGACAAGCTTTGATCAAATGAAAAAAAAAAAAAACAATAGAGCAGAATGAAGACTTGAAGAGAGACAATATGATCGATACCTGCTGACTAGGTCACTGCAATCTTAATGACCTGTCTGTCTACTGAATGGATCTACTGACTAGAAGCCATCAGCTTTGTCCTTGGGAATAACACAGACTCTGTCACACACAAACAGATTAACTTGAATAATAAAGCCAAGTATCAGTGCGTTAAGACCAAAATTAAAACTGTATTGCTTTCAAAAACTCTTCTATCTTAAAGCTGAGTTGCCGTAAAGCGCCACAGTCTGTATCAAGGGCAAACAGTATGGCGTAGGCTTATAGGAGGATGTTTGTTGTTGGGATGAATTTATAGCAAGAGTTGTTGTAAGCGTAATCCAATTCCTCCTGCTCTGCTTTTGTTGGCTTCCCCTGGTGTTGGTGAGGGCCGCGGGATCCGTGTCCAGCAGCATGGCTCAGGCTGCTGGAGGGCTGGGGGTGTCTGAGGATAGTCCATGAAAGACTGACTGTGGTCAAGCACCGATAAATCACACAACGCCTATACACCAGGATAAACACACACACACACACTTACACTCATACACGCGTACTGCTAATGATAAATTTACGAAATATGCTTTCAACAACAACAGGGTTACAATCTGGAGGTGAAAGGCACACTGCCCCGAGGAAAAGATCTAAAGACAGATGCACACGCAAACACACACACACACACACACACACACACACACACACACACACACACACACACACACATACATGCATACATGCACATAATGGACACACAGTTGCAGCGAGAGCCAGGAGGAGCAGCTTGTGATAATAACTGTAATCGAAAGCAGACGAAACTAAAGACAGGGCAGAATTTGGGACTGCACTGAAAGGAGGGTTTTTAAAAGTTAAAGCGAATAGAACGTTGCAGCTGAGTGACAAGAGCGATCGCTTCACACAGCTGGTTTCGATTGCTGTTAATGGCCAGACGGCCGGAGGAAAAGACACCACCAGGCACCAGGCCTGACATTCTCTCAACAAGCCACTTTACAGCGGTTAGTGGACACAGATATTATATTGTTGAGAAAACACTGGTAGTAACAGCCAAACATGGTGGGAAAGATGGTGTTTTCATAGCAAAGAGAGCAGATTTAATGGCAATGTTTTCATTCTTTGTCCTTTTCTTCTCACGTATTTGCTGAGAAGAGTGAGCGCCCGCGGCTCAGCACTGCAGTCAGCACAGTTGTGGCAGCAAATCGCGTTAAAAATGTCTGAGATGGGTTAATTACGCACAAAATATAACCTATACTGAATGGATTAAAAATGCAGGTGCCACTTTCACAAGAGTCTACAGCCAAGCTGGCAACTGTGAGGTTGTGTCTAGGAATAGCAACACTTTTAGCTATGTGCGAACAATAGCATGTTAGCATTCTCACAACTAAAACGATAACATGTTTAGTGGGTATAATGTTTACCATTGTCACTATCTTAGTTTGGCATGTTAGCACGGTAGTATTTGCCATTTACCATTAAACCGCCCCATGGCAGTGCGATAGTGATGGGGTCACCAAAGTTGGTCTTGATCCTCTGGGAACCACAAATGTCTGAACAAACTTAGATGTCATGTGTTATATGTATATGTGGTTTTCTCACTTTCAACTGATCTGATCTCCTTGTTCAGTTGTGAGTAAAACACTTGCCACAATCTCTTTTTATAGCCTCATCATTTATCTCTCATTCGCAGCTGCTGGCTCTAATCAGGTCAGGTCACGGGCTGACAGTTTTCATAGTCCTTGAACTCAGAATAGAGGGGATCTCATTGTCCCTAGATCCATTTTTGAACAGGTCAAACGAGCCTCATGTCCTTTCCAAACTGATCTTTTGTTGTCTAAAAGTTGATTTATCCACATCCAAGCTGCGGGTCCATTTCAGAACCTGGAAAGACTTCTAGTTTGCATGAATAACCCTGAACTGAATTTCTATCCAAATATCCCACATGTGAGCGGTCCGGGAAAAAAAAAAGCATACTTCATGTTCAATTCCAAATTAAAATCAGACCTGGTGGATGTTGAACAGATTCTGCCGATTAGACTGAAGCTATTGCTACGTGATGGTAAAAAAAATGGGCCACTGCTGAGTAACATTCTTGGCCTTAACAAGCTGTAACTTGGCAACATCCAAGAATTTTATTTGAGAAGGATGGAGAGAAAATATTGGCAGGGCCTCCCTCACACTGCAGCTCAATAACATCTCCAGCACACTCAGTAATGGCTTTATGTTTGGGGATAAAGATTCATGTTCTATTATGAGTCTGTATTTCAGCAACAGAAACACAAAACACACAGGAGACTTGATCAGCCCCACCGAAGTGCTGAGTTTCCCCTCATAATTCTCAGATATATCTGACTGAATACCACAGTCCTCCTCTGAAATCTCTCCTTACCGAGTGGTGACTTTACACCACTGCAGGCTGAATAGCAGACTCATACACAGCACCGGCTCCCTATGGTGAAACCCAAACCCACTGTTAAGATCCTGGAGATTAGCTTTGTGTTTACCAACTCTCTCTATTCTCGCTCTGTCTTTACCTTGTGCGCAGGAAATCAGGGCGTTGAAGAGCTGCACATCAGGCGCACTTCCGCTCCTCAGTGATGGGTCACACAGCATGTTTTCACAGCTTGAATGACTTGCACATCAGGTTTGGAAAATAGAAATTGCCTTTAGAAAAAGACACATTTCATGTAGGTTGAGATTAATGCTCTTAAATGCCACAGTTTTTCCACCAGGGCTGATTGTTTCTCTTCATGTTTACTGTCAAAAGGCAAAAACAGCATCCATTTCTTTCAAGTTTGTTTACCGCTATGCTGCTGCAGTACAGCACAGCCCAGTTTCTATTATGGCCTGGCTATTGCTGAGGTCATATTGCCCCTAGACGAGAACCTAATTGACTTCGGGGTTAGACGTGTGACCCTGGAGGGGGATGAAAAATCGCTGTGCTCAGTCCTCTGAGGTGAAACAGGGGGCTGTGGCAACATTGTGTATTGACCAGTTCATTGCTCTAAGCTCATCAACAAAATGAAACCAGCGTCCACAAATGCTTCTATTGTCCCATAAAACTGAAAACCTCCCCACATGTGCACACCTATGGTTCGACAGGGTGTTGTAAAAGAGGATTTTCATCAACAAGCATGGGGCCATTTAACATGTGCTTGGCTGAGCCTTCGTGAGGACGATGGAACCTACTGTAAACATGTTTGGAGGCAGAATGAATTGGAGATTAATTTGACTGCTGGGGCCACATAATCCTTGTTACCCATTAGCCTGCAGAAAGTGCAGTCAGCATAACTAGTGAGCTATCATACAGTTACAAAATATAGGCATGAGGTGTAACACTATACGCAGTGTAGTGCTTGGAATTTTTATTAGGTTTACACCACACTGTACTGGAATGCATGTATATGTATTAACTTTTATAACTGGAACCTGTCTGCGCATATGGCTTTTCAACCACACTGAGATAATCGTTTATAACACCAATCTTTTCGAGGACATTTTCTTTGGTGTGTAAATTTGAAGTCACCGAGTTCACATCATAGTGTGTATGGTGAAATTAGAGCTTTATGAAAACTTTTGGCAGACAAACTGCATATTCAGTTGCAGTTCAGAGTGGATAGGGTCCACGGATCGGGCTACAATCAGATGTGATTGACAACAGCTGACAAAACCGCGCAGGAAAACTGCACACTTTTACAGATAGACCTCAATGGTCCTTGTGCTGCTCTGTGCGAATGTCATGTGGCCCAGATTGTAAGTAAGTGAAAACATGCTAATACCTGTTCAGGTTTGAGTCCTGGTGGTACCCAGGCGTACTCCTCCAGGGCACAGCCAGAGTCGTCATCTGAGGTAGAGTTCCTCTGGAAGTCGTACATCAGCTTGGTGACCGTCTTCTCCATCTCTACAGGCATGGCTGGCACTGCATGCTCCTCACGACGACACTTACAGTGCACACAGATCTTCCTACCACGGAAAAACCAAAGACAACGAACATCCGTCAAGCCACGGTTGTGTGTTTTTTTCAACAGGCACAAATTAATGAAAGACTTCTACCGAATTAGAGCCTCAGATTAGATATGAACGCAGTAGTTATTTGACCTCCTGAATTATGCTGCTGAGAAGTGTGATCTGAAAATAACTTTTGCACATTTTAACTCACAATATCTCAGAATACAAAACCATTAGGTTCAAAATAAACCCTCAGTTTAATAAATCACTATGTAAACAGAAATGTATCCTGGGCGATAGGGTTTCAACAGAAACAAGACGTCATACTATAGAGTACTGTTTGGGCCTCTGAAGCTTGCCATTAATCACAGAAAATAAAAATAACCCAAACAGCTTTTTTTTTCCGAAAGGTAACCTCAAGAGAAGCTGTGAAAAAAGGAAAATCTGTCATCCAACCTATTTGGTTGTGGGCATAGACCCCCCCCCCCAAAAAAAGCATAAGGCCTGTGCATGTTTCCAGACCCTCTACCCATAAAGCATGTGAACTCCACACAGTTTAAAGGTCAAGGCTTCCCGCTGCAGCTCTCACAGTAAAATACGGGTGCCACAATTACAATGCCCCCACAATCCTCAGGGGAATCAAGTATGAAGATATAATCACAAACAGGCTATGGAAATTAGCAGAATAGAGCCAATGACAATGATGGAAAGCAGTACTGTACAAACACACAAACATGCACACAACACACACACACACACACACACACACATCCACATGAACAAGGTTAGGGAGAAACACTAACAGATGCTCAGCCAGGACAGTGCTCCGCTCTCATTAGTCAAGCGGACCCGCCCAGCTATAAAATGGAAAATATCCATGTGTGAGTTTCCACAGAAAAGAAGGCCGAGAGTGTTTGACACTGACACTCCTCCTCCTCCCTGCTCTTTCATCTCTAGTCGTGCCCAGAGAGTGATAAAGTGAGTTGTTATATTTCATAGACTCAAACACCTATTCTTGGGTGTTGTTTTGCAAACTATTGGGATTAACAGACAAAGTTTGCTCCTCAGAGAATGACAGAGAACTTTTGAGACGTCTCACAATAAGCAGAACAGGATGTGTGTTAAATACCTGAGTGCATGGATTAAAATGAAAATCACCAGGTCTGTACTTGGATCCAAAGGGAGGAGACACTACATACAAACAGATTCCCATGTCCTTGACAAGTCTAAGCCCCCGCATGAAGACAAAAGTCTGGGTGGCCAGAAGGTTGCATCCCACTAACCGTTGCTGCCCCTCAGGCGGCCAAACCAGAGAGACAATCCCATTACCTCCCCAGGCGGACGCTCGCTTGTCTGACAGACGGACCTACGGAGGAGCTTAAGGACACTCAGGACAATGTTTGACAGACTGACAACCTGGTTGGCCATGGATCTGTTAGTGTAAAGTGCTTGGAGCCAAGACAGCACTGTGTGGAGAGCTGGCCAAGGCTCACATTGTCTCTTGTTCAGAGGAGCACTTCTTGTCCAAGGGTTGAGTCCTGGTTAACAAAGCACTCCAGTATATTTGGCTTAATACTGATGGATTTTGATGACAGAACAGACATTGGAAATACTTGGAAACCTCTTTCAAGCTGTCTAAGTAAAACATCCCACTGACGTGCCACAACTGGTAATACAACATGCGATTCTTGAAAAGAAAATAAACAGATCTATGGGTCTTAAATTTGTATGAATTCTCCATCACCACTTGCGAATCCTTGCCATTCACCAGGAGACTAACAGCCTATTACTGTCTGATCCAGCTTTCAACACCACCCTGAGCAGAAAAGGCAAACCTCTACAAACTCTGCTGTCATTGTGGAAGGGCACAGACTTCACAAACTGACTTCGTTAATATTTAAAAAACGCGTCGAGGTATCTCCTCCCTGAATACTGATGTGTAGGATAAATGGAGCAGTGACGCAGCTCAGCCAGACAAAGTCATCAAGTAGCTGTCAAGCAAGCTGACTGGTAGAAGGGAATTTGGAAAATCCCTGCCACAGCGGCAGGGTGCTATAGCCAGGGGCGACGCAGCTTGCCTCATTACAGCCCGGCAACTTCGCAATCATTACTAATTTAAGGCTGATTAGCTGGATGACATGCACAAAAATGCATGCATCAACGGGAAGAAACACTCGAGGACGATGATCGATAGTACACGACAAAAGGCACCGAATGCGAAGACAGAATAAGCACAAATGGACACCTCTCCGATTCTTCTTGACATGCTGCCAGCTGGTTAGCAGTTATTTTTGACCTGGGCTGGGGAGGGGACACTTGGAGATAAGAGTATACAAATAGCCAGAAGGAGCAGAGTGGACCTGAAGGAAAGCATTTCACACCGCATTCCTTCTGAAAAGGACAAATCACAACAGCGTAGCCCCACACTTCGCTTGCTATGGTCTCTGTGGAGTTAAACTTGGGAGGCAGAAAAGCTTGTGACCTTTGAAGCAATGCACCTTTCTGACCCACTCTCTCAGACCAGATGTGTGATGATGACCTTCCTCGTGTGATTCACCTCACAAACATCCTGATCTCCCCACATCAGCGCTGGCAGAAATACTGTAACCCTACAGGGGCCTGTTGCTCCTTCTCTCCCCTTCTATCCTCGTGATTTACAACGCGGTTCATGCACATGTCTGGGATTTCCCCTCCTCTGAAACATAATCCCCGAGCTTCCCCTTGTAATCTACATGATTTCAATTAGGAGAGATTTGGGGGCTTTGGTAATACAAGTCAAGTACATCACTGACGCCTCATAAATGACTCCGAGGTAAAACGAGGGAAGTTAAAAGGCTTGTTCTTTATCCGAACGTGACTGGCACTTCATCCCCTGGGAGATGTAAATGCTGAAGTATCATTGGCCCGTTTGAGTGTTAAGTTTTTTCAAGACCTGGGGGGTATGTTGTTGGTTAGTGATCCCTGTGACCATGATGTCAGTGGACAATGATTCACCGTGTCGGGTTAATTATCATCACCCTGGTCTTCCAGATTAGCTTTGTAACCCAGGTAACAGGGTGTTTTTAATGCGTAACCAGGATCTGATAGGCCCCTCTGACAGTTGCGTAGACTTGGTTCAATCGCTTTAGCTCAACACTGCAGGGTCTTCAGCATGAATGGTCTCAAGTTTGGCCTAATAAGCATTCTTGAGGCTTGTAGAGTAGATTTAGAATTTTTTTTAGAAAATGTGCTTCAAAACAAAGTAAAAGTTGACTCATAAAAATTGTCTTTACAAGGCAAACAAATAGAGCTAGAGCTACCCCCAACTCTAGGGTTATGATTAGGAGGCTCTCTTCAACCCAAGCCTGAGAAAGCCATCTGATTCAGCTGTATCCCAAAGCCAGTCATGAAAGTATGGCCTTGCATGGTTTGAAACAGAAGTCTCATTCCACTCTCATTCCCGAGCTGCTCCCAAAACCACTGCAGCCTTTCCACGGCATCACTCTAGATGGTCAGATTAAAATCCCATCTTTAAATGGCAGCTCTGCACAAAAGCTGGGGTTGGATGTCGAGGGAGAAGAGCACAGAGGAGAGAACAGCTGGGTGCACGCTGCAGCCAAGTCTTGTGTTCTTTTTTCCTGCTTCTGCTTTTGTTTTCTCTGGAAGAAGTGGTTGGGGGGGGGGGGGGGGGGGCAGACTCTTTTTATTTAATGGCCTTTTGTTTGATGAATACAACATTTCCGTTTAGTGTGCTGAAGCTGTTGTTGGAATTTTCAAGTGCTTTAACAAATGGCTCTGCTTTCACAAACTACTAATACACGCGTATACACAGTCTTTGTACCTACAGTGGGCTGCACGTTGACTTCAGAGCCATTAGGAGTTAATTACAGTTAAACATGACTGGAGGTGTTCCTGACAAGAATCAGGTTCGACAAAGACGTTTTCCATTAGTGACCAATTAGTAACAACCAGACGCAACGTGTTCCAGAGGACAGAGATTAGACCTGCATCCACCTGTCATAACAAATTATTGAGAGCCAGAGTCCAGTCCTCTTTTAAACTCGTCTCTGGTCCACTAGTTGCAGCCCCAGACAATGGATCTTCTACCTTCAGGGACAGTGACATATGGGCACCTTGACATTTTAACTTACAACAAAATACAACAACTATTTGCTGATCATTCGACAGTGATCGCTCCCAAAAGTGCACAGAACATGTAATACCGAATGATTTAGATTTTCAGAAAGAGAAATACAAAATAAGTTGCAATGCCAAATTAATTGAGAACCATAAGCTCGTGGAAAAGGAGCTAACCAAGAAAATTTCAACTGCATTATCTGTACAACATACAGGAACTTGTGATTGCAGATAAGTAGCCAATTTTTTTTTATGGCTAAATAAAGTCACAGTAATTTTTAATTTGTGACTGAAAAAGTTGTGAGTATCATAACCCTGTTCTCTCCCTTCTCTCTAAGGACTGGTACAGGACTCCAGTGGCGAGTGGAAAGCCGAGAGCATAAGGAGAGAGAGATATTTATGTAACATTAGAGTGGGACTCTTTTCAGCCCACTATACTTGAGACTGGATCACATTACTTATTCATCCAGTGTTGACTTGCTCCATAAAGTGACACTACTTTGGATGGGAAATGGTGGAGTCATGGAGGGACGGGGTTCCAAGCCTCCGTACAGATTATGAGACCATGTTCACCAGCAACCTGTCAACTCATTTGATAACCAACAACATATAGTGATTGGCTTTTAGTCTCTTGGTTTCTGGTAGTTTTTTAGGAGAAAAGATCTGCCAGTCCCTCGAGGAATTTTGCAGAATAATATGTCGACTTTTCTTTGAAAGTGTCAGTGGGGAAAAATCCAGTAACCAATAAGGTACTGACATTTTTCCAGAGGCAGTTGTGGCTGTCAGAAATAATGTTGGTTTGGCATTTTGGCTCCTTTCAGCTCAGTTAATGTTTGGGCTGCTCTCAAACCTGAGGAGACCAGTGATACTGCAGCCAGCTGCTGAAGCCACATTACCCTTCACCCCCTCCTCCCGGACATTCATGTGCTAATCAGTTACCCTTTACACTGCCAAAATGTAGCCTCCTTAACGGGTCAATTGGCCTGTATTGAGTCTTGTAACGTCCTTAAAACAACTGCCATGGAGATGTGATTATGCCACTTGTTTCCAAAGCAGTTTGCAGTAAACTACAGGAAATAATTTGAGCTTTTAATTAACTGAGATGACTCAGATAATTACAACATAACAGCACTTGACTGGAGACACATCCTGAAACAAGTTGATTTGGAGAAAAAAAAACAAAACATTTGGAATATTTTAGAGAGGCCCGGTCCTATCTGTTTATTTACACAGCAATCTACAATCCATATGGCACTGAGGCTGCACAACAAAGACTTTCTGGATAGAAAGCGCACAGTAGCCTGGCCATTGCGCTACAGGGGGTGGGGTGGGGGATAGAAACCAGTGAGAGAACACTTCCATGAAGGGAGAGCTGCAGTGCAAGTCCGATAACTCGCGATTTTCTATCAAAATAACACCAAGGTCTGGGCGAGGAAAGAATCGATTTACGCCTGCTGGTAAAATCTTGAAAAGGGCGAAACTTTCCTAAAAAAGTCAGTGACTTCAAACTGGGTAGATGGCTTCATTAATTCTTAGTTCTTGTTTAGTTGTGAGGCCACTTTACTTTCTCTTTGAAAAGTGTGCGTAAAGAGGTTAAAGTCAGAAAAGAACAGGGTTTCATTAGCAGATACATCTGTGACACATTCCCCTTTCCATTACGCATTTAAAGCCCCAACACAAATCGTCGGTGGCGCTATTCAAACAGCTCCAAAACAAAATAACCACCATCGATAATGTGCTGCTTACCTTCTTACAAGCAGCGGCTGAGGGCTGAAACCATAGCCCCGACCTCGGTGCTGGTTGTGGTGGAGCAAGTTTTAGAATGCGTCTTCCTCATCGCAGAATTTATCACACAAACTCCAACGCCACGGCTTTGCCACGAAAACACCCCGCTCTCACCCTGGCTGTGTGTCTGCACCCCTCTGCTACATTTATCTCCTCCGTTTCAATGCCTTTTGTCAGCCCCCTGTTCTCCGCAAACACACTGGGGAGTTCTGCAAACGAGGAGCGAGCTGAGACGAAGAGCCAACTTAAAGTGCGTAAAAGCAGATCCCCAACTGCAGTAAGTCACAGATCCAAAGAGGAGCGCGAGTTCCACCGAAATATTTTCAATCCCAGCGAATAAAACAGAAACCTCCTTAGGTAGTTGCGTTAAACGCCGCTGCCGAGTCTGCGTTAAGATCCGTGCGGACTTTCGGTGCGTAAAAGCACGGAGAGCTGGAGATGCTCCGCTCGCTGCTGACCGACCCACTGACTAACAGCTTTAATCCTCAACCGGTGTCAAGTCGGCATAAATAACCTACCGACTTCCTGTTTGCAATTTCAACATAAAAGCTTCACTGTCAAATGTCAGTCCCTGACAATCTGTAACTGATAGTAAATTTCAAGGGAAATAGCTCAACAACTAAACATACTCAACCTGCCGAGGAAGACCATGAGATGTGTTGAAAGAAGAACAAGAACAGTCTATTTATTTGTTCTTTTAAACTACTGCATCCAAGGTCAATAATGAACTGAAATGAAAACCACTGCTACATCAACATGTAACTGTGTGATCATTTAAAAATTGTGTTGTCACTGAAAACATAAATTTAACTCATGTAACAGTCTATTTAGTTGAATGATTACAACTATATGATAAGAGGACTATTACTGATTGTTAAAGTATAATTAACTGTGATGTTGCATGTTTGAGCACATTCACAACAAATCACATATATATTTTTTGTAATCACTTTACAAATCATTAAGTTTCATTTTGGATTTTGAATTTATGTGTCTGACCTCCGTTCACTTCTGCACAGTGAAAAGCTTTTGTTTGAAGGAAAAGTCAGTGACTTCCTGTCTCCTCCTGGCCCTCTCTGGTTGGCTTGACACACACACACACACACACACACACACACACACACACACACACACACACACACACACACACACGCTAATATCCTGGTATGATGTCAGCAAGTCAGCGTCCCAACATTGGTGTAATTAGCAGTGTGAATGACTGGTGCTCTGGTGGGATTTGCATGTGAATTAAACCACTTCCCTGAATCAACTGGCCATTGGCAAGAAGAGAGCGAGGGAGGGAGAGAGAGGAGCTGCAGGGTGCTGACCTGCATGGGGAAATGGGGAGGTGAGCCCCTGTAAACAAAACACTGCTGTTTAACATAAGAAACATTGGGGGAAAGGACAAAAGGCTTACAGACCAATGAAAGTCCACTGAACCAAAAACAAATGTATAGCCAAATTAGCAGGATCTTAAAACTCCAAAGGTCTGTTCAACCCATGTGCACCTATGCCAAAGACTCATTGACAGAGAACAAAGTGGACTACAATCATTTACAACCATATGTAAATTTGCTATTGCACATTATTTATTATGTTACAACAAGCTTCTGCTATATAATAGACCAAAGTCTGCTGACCACAATACAGTCAACCAAGAGGACATTAGACATTAAAGCAGGGAACTGATTGATTAGCAGCAACATCAACAGCACAGTTGTTCCCTAACAGATTGCCACCATCTCAGCTATTTTGGTTCCCTCTTAATCTCACAAACACTTGCTTGGCTATAAACTCCATGATGCTATCTCTCCTCTCTGGATCCCTCAGTGAGTGGTAGGAGTGTTTAACATCGTCCCACTGCTGCCTCTCATTTGCTTATTAGTCTAACGCCACAATGTGTCATGAAAAAAGAAAAACACACTAAAGTTTTCTGGCAATCAAAGCACAACAGATTTATGGAAGATTTCAAAAGGCAACTGTGGGAATGGACAGAATGGAAGTGGGTTAGTGAGTAATTAAATCAAGATTTGTGTATATTTTTCCCCAAAGTGACCCACTGCTGCCTGTTGGCTAAACACAAGTAAAAAAAAAAAAAAAAGACATGTGGAAAGGAAAATTTAAAAAAGCCTGCTTTTAAATTATCGTCTCCAAAGCTGAACAAGAAAGAATTTTTTGCCGCCGCTGCTGAAAACAGCCGGCAAGTCTGAACGACCTCAACAGTTTTTAAGGACAGTGCTGCATTTCTCTTTCCTCTGTCCAGGAATTATACCTCTGGCTTCCCTGGAGTCACACTAAAGCTCTGCTTTTCTTTTTAGTGAAAGCCGTCTTTCTGCCCTGGGTTCTCTCACACGTGGCGACTCTTGCTACGTCTTAGTCTCATACATAAGAACATATAATCGCGTCCTCTTTACAAGCACAAGAATATCAATTTCAGCTCAGGCTGGCCTTTACACTAGATTTTACAAGGAGCCCTAAGTGACAGTGTCCTGTGCTTGTAGCAACCAAAGCGTGGGTCAGCTGGTTTGGGGCCAGCCATCTCCCCCAATAAGTCATTCCCTTTTCCCCAATAAACTGTTCTTCGACCTGCAGTGAACTGCTTTAAATGCCATTAGAGGACTAAATGAAAGCATAGAGGCCAGCTTGGGGGACATACCACAGATAGCACTGCCTTCGTGGACTCCTGGCATGCAGAGAGAGCATATACTTGGTAATTTTAGACAGTGAGCCAAACAGGTTTACTCCCTTCCTAACCATGCATAAGCATATTGAGGTCTTTGTCTCTATCAAAGCACAGGATGAGCGATATTGTAAATACATGTTGCCCTGGCGCTGGGAGCCTATCTGAAGTATGCAAGAATGGATCTTATCCTACAAGAACATTTTTCATGTCTTACCAGGGAAGGAACTAATTTATATACTGTCTGATATGGTCAGAAAAACACTCCTGATGAATCAATGCCTTTATCTCGATTTGAAATGTAGCCAATGCTCCAACATGGCCTCCCCATCTTTATTTCTCATCTGCTTTTTTAGGAACACCAGTCTCCTCTCCTTTCATGTGGCAAATGCTGATGGCTATCACTCCAGAGTCAACACACGAGGCAGCTGGGACTCACCCCAACAGCTGATAGCCCAGACATGTTGGGAGGGAGCGAGAGACCTAACTTCCTCTCCCATATAGCTTTTCTTTCCACTGCTGCACAAGGTTTACCCTAACTACCGTAAGTGTTTACCCTGCCCAAAGTCTGATCTACCAACTGGCTGCTTGAGGGAACCAACTAGAAGGTGCCAATCTGCTTTAAAGAAAAATGCTTGTCGAATCATCTAAAGCTGGACGTATGTAAGCAGAAGTCCTGGCAATTTGTGCTTTAATTTTATTCCACAAAGTAACTCTGTTTACATTCTTTAATTCATATACTGTATAGTGATGGTATGCAATTTATGTACTGGAATTACATCAAGTATCATCATTACTAAGTGACTACTGTAGACTTGTGTGTTTACATTCATTCGGTGTGAGAGAGTGGCTCGTGGGGAGCAGAGGTTTGCAGTGGAAACTGCTTTGCTGGAAGTGTGTTACTGAAACGCAGAAGACAACAGAGGCTTTTTTCAACTTCATTATTGCTGCCTTCACTATCAACAATCTCCCTGTTGCTACGCCGCAGCAATGCTGTAGCCCCTTAACGCACTATTAATAGGCCTGAACTGCATCTGAAACCCGTTCCCTTTGCACCTTTCCGACACTGGAATGGTGGCGACTGTGTTTAACAATTTCTTTTCTCTTCGCTCAACTATTTCTACCACCATGTATATAACAGAGTGCACAAATAATTGCCTCTCACCCGCCTCTATGACTGCAGGCTTTTTCACTCTGCCTACGAGTGTGGCCAGTCAGAATAGTTATTAACACTTCTGCCTTTAGATACAGTCTGGTGACACTTTGTTTGAACCAGTTGGTCTCAAGCAGAACGTAGCCTAAAAGAAAACCTGGAGCAGAACGGAGTTATTTTTTTATTGCTGGATTCAGTGTTAAGACACAGACATTCAAATCAAGCAATGAGGGTGCTGAACTCAGCACACTGGAAGTTGACAACAACCTCAGACGATCCTTTCAAGGTTGCAGGCCTTTCTACCCTTTCTGTTTTTTGTTACCGGCTGTTGGATAACTTTCCTTACGCTACATTAGGGGAGTAATGATTCATGTGAACACCTGCATCCAGTCAGAAAGAAGAGTATAAAGCCTGTTAGTATAAAGGTTCACTGGTGTTCCTAACCCAGCTCCAGCCACTGTGTTGATGGAGACGCATGACATTCAGTGAGAGCACGGCAGTCTGAAAACATACTGACCTCCCTTCTACCATGAACTATCAGTAGTTTGCCCCAGCTACTCTGCCCAGAGAGCAGATTTAGTGAGACATAAGACTGGGGGCTCACTACGGTTCCTCCACCCAAGCACTCCTCTGTACCCATGTTCCCAGCAGATAAGTGGCCATTATTCATCCTGTGTTGAACATTAACTGGATTAATTCTGCACGGGTTGAGGGGTGAAATTGTATTTGTCCAAAGGGAGGGAAATGGCAAGGAAATGAGGAGAGTAGCCAGCTTGGCTGAAATTCTAATTAGCTCAGGGGTTCGTTAGCACACAAACTCTACTCTTGCTGCTACAGAGGCCTGTGTAAGCCATTAAGAAGAGAGAAAGAGTATGGACACAGACTTTTCACGCATAAAGGCCCAGGGCAAGGAGGTGACCTTGTGGAGGGACTTCTCAAGGGGACTGGAGCTATTTTCTGCCCCTCCTGGCCCACTTACACAAGGGCTCTTCAGCACAGAGGAAAAACACACTCCAAGTCCTCAACCTCTGTCTATCCATCGGACCATCCATCTCCACTGTAGACAGCACTCTCCAGGGCGACACAGCTCAGTTTCCAGCGTGCTGTGCCCAACAACGGCGGTTTGTCAGTGAGCTTTTCTCAGCCGTACTGTACATGTGGATTCTGATTCAAAACATAACTAGGTCATGCTCTGGTTTGAAAAAAAAAAAAAAAAAAAAAAACGGTAGAGGGAGGAACAGTTGTAGGAAGTAAAGAAATACTGTAGTGGACGCAGTGGGATATGAGGAATGGCAAACATGAGATAGTGAAAAATGAGTTTTGACATTATTATTATTACTGTGTCTGTGCATTAGAAATATAGAGACATTTGGGAGATGATATTTGCTTTCTGAGCGCTCCGCCCTTCCATTTGTGCAGAAAAGTAATGACCTTTAAAATGTGTTGTGAAGTAATACACAAAAATCTCTTGTTTCTCTCCCAGCAACACATAAAGCCAGAGCTGTGATGTAGCATGATCTCGTGGCTGCATGAATGAACCACCCACCTCCTAACCTCCCACATTCGGCACCCTGCAGCCATTTCTCTGACTCAACTCTCTAATTCAGCCTCCAC